ACTAATTTAGGCGTCAGGAAAGATCAAAATGTTTTAAAAATGACGCCTAAATTAGAAATTTATGGTACATTCTTCCGGTTATGAAAAATTTAAAAATAATGTGCGAGCTGCAGATATAAAACTGATTAACTTGATAACAGGAAAAACTTTTTTTTTTGGCCTTACCTGGTCTAGAGTTTTTTGGATTATGTGACAAACTTCTTTGGAGTCCAGCCTGAGCTTGCATAGCAGCTATAGCAGCAGCAGTGGCAGCAGTTTGGGATATTGCTCCGGATGATGTACATGGAAATGGGGATCTGGGGTTCACTATCAATGGCACTTGCTGCTGCATTGGCCTTGGATTGTTACCCTACAGAGAAGACAAACATTTGTTAATTAAATTTCTAGCATCCAAGATTTGAAATTCAATTTTTCCGTTTTCATACCACAAAGAAGGAATGTATAGTATATTTTGCTGAAATTATTCCAGGATGCTCATCTCATAGGGCGATCCAAAAAATATTTTTCTTCCAAAGCCAGCAAGTAAGATCACCTGTTTTCAAGTGGCTGCTTTGATCAAAATGAGAATGTCAAGATGCAAAGGGTCACGAGTTGATATGCAATTGTTTGGTGTATCTTTTTCAACTATCAAATTTGACCACACAAGTCAGTTTATTTTTTACATGTATGACAAGACAATGCTGTTGTTTTACTTGGAGAAATTATTTATAAATAACAGTCAATGTTCTGTCCCTTACAATTATTTTCAGTAGCCTGTGTATGCTGAATGAGCTTATTAGAATAATCCACAATAACAGTTATAAAAAACCACACTGTCTATCACAGATTCTTAAAAATAAAAGAAATGAAGCTGGAAGAATGTTTTTGCTAGTGTAAATTTGGCTCTAAAGTAGGCTGCTTATATTAAAGTATTTTTTATTTTTCCAGTTTTGTGATATGACCAACCTAATAATTGGGGGGTCAGTTTAAAATAAACATTCTGCCTAAATTAGGCATTTTATGGTAGTGAAAAATTGAATGATAGGGGGCATTTTTGAAAGTCTGAAATTCTGTGTTGTATAATGTACAATAAAACTAATACTCATGTGTTTTTTAATTTAGTCTGCTGTGAAACACAAAATTCAGGCAAAAAAAAAAAAAGATCTTATGCTATCCTATAGCATCAGTGGGTGAAAAATCATCCTAAGCACAATTTATCAGAAATTACTTGGCTTACAAGTAAATTTTCTTTGGTATGAGTGGAATCAAGTGATATGACATGCATGTACATTTAACAAGTCTTAGTTATTTGACATCTTTGATTTCACCCACAGGAGAACTGTGGTCCATTCTTTGAGCAGGTGTGAAAAAAGTTCACTGCTAATAATAACCAAGAAATTGTGATAAATTAGTTTGACAAAAATTATATTGGACTAAACATTTACACTTTCACCTACTGCAATTGTATCGGTTGTCTGTTGCCAACTTACCTGTTGTAATGGCATGTTAGGTACATTTCTCACATTTGAAATTCCTGGATAAACTCCACGTAGTAAAGGCTGCTGAGCTGGCATACGTGAAGGAATCATCGACACTGGCAGTGGTGGTTGTGGACAGGGATGCATCTGCATTGGTCCCATCGAATTCTGTCCTTCAACTGCAGCAGCTTTTTGCTGCTGCTGCAGTTGCACCTCTCGTATTTTATTGTAATCTATATCTCCAGAGATGTCTTTATTAAGTTGATGCACTGGACTGTGATGCTGCTGCATTTTTGGAACACAAGGCTGTTGATTAAACGCCGACACTTGAGGCTGTTGTTGCTTGTAAGAAGGCGGAATTTTGGGCTGGTTATAGGGTGGCTGTTTATATGGTGATGGCGGTGCCTGTTTATACGGCGAAGGTGGCCCCTGTTTGTATGGCGAAGGTGGCGCCTGCTTATACGGAGAAGACGGTGCCTGTTTGTACGGCGAGGAGGTGCCTGATTATATGACGAGGGAGGAGGGGGTGGTTGATTGTATGGTCCTTGCTGATTTGATTTGTACTGTGGAGCTTGCATATGCTGTGACGGTTGCTGATAGAGTTTAACCACTGGCACATTATGTGGTACATGATTCATTGGTGACAGGGGAGGCTGCTGGTGCCCACCTGCTGGACCATCCATGTTGTTAACAAGTTGGTTTTGTGAAGACACATTGCCTGAAATAGAAACAAGCATGGGATACACTGCATTATTATACATTTACCACCAAAAGTAATGGAATTTACCATTCCACTGAAAGCCGTATTTGCACTCGTTCCAATTTTACGAAGTTCTTCTTACCTAAAAAACTACATTACCAACATTGAACGATTTACAGTTTTATTTATTACATCACTTTAAATTTGTTACATTAGAGTGGCAACACTACAGTGTGGTAGAAATAGAACCCCGACACAGAATGCAAACTGTCACAAAGACGCGCATCTTATGAAATATTTTTTAGCCAAAATCGCTATCTTACACTAAATAAATCTTATTTGTAAAGGGGCGACTAAATTTTTTAAATTTTGCCAAACAACTTATTCTTGCCCATCCAATAGTGTTCTACTGCATGGTTTCTGTGGCCAGAGGAACAATAGATGTAGTGATGTTGGGAGGCGAAAAAAAGATGTTCTCAACAAGATGCCATTTATGAATGTATACTCAAATCTTAAACTTTGTTTCTCATGAAGATCAACATCTCCTTGGAACAGAAAATTATATGCAAATTGGCTCATTAATATGTACAACATTTATATAATGAATGTAATATATGCAAATTACTTACCCATGGAGTGATCAAGAGGTTTTAGTCGTTGTTGTGCTGTAAATACGTTATTGCCTTGTACCTGTGCCATTGATGGTCCATCTTTATCACTTTGTTCAGCTTTGCTTTCATGCATTTTACGAATTACCGACGTTGGTGTGAAGGCAGTTAACATGGTCTGCAAATCAAATGGTGGATAAATCAAACTGAATTTTTACATATATGGTATATACTATAGAGAAATATTTGCCTTAAATGGATGTCAGTATTTCAAAATTTCACAAATTGTATTGTTTACATAAATTTCGAACAAGTGCTGCACAATGACCACCACCCTCTTTAAAATTGGCAAATTTTGTCGTCAACAATGGCTAAGACTATTTTCTAAAACGTCAAAATATGTGAAGAAAATGTGAATAAAGTGAACATGAGAATAAACAATTTTATACATGAATCTGACAAATGTCATAATTTTTTATTTCACACTAAACGCAAATATTTCAAACTAACCCTCTGTGGCGTGGACATGCATGTTGGCACTGGTACCTGCATTGGCTTATCGTTCATGTTCATATGCATATTTTGTGACATTGGAATGGGCGACTTGGCTCTGCAATAAATTATACAATATGACTGTTCATGTTTTGCACATACATTTTGTATTATAGAATTCATACATGTATACAGATCTCTTCTGTGACGTATACAAAGTAACATACACAACCTCAGGTGAAGAACAAGGGTGCAGACAGACGCACTTTTTGTACCACCACATGTACAATTTGCTATAACAATCTACACAGGAATTTAAAAAGCAATAACAGGTTTTGTAGAGGTACATGTACAGACATTCAACTAAAAAATAGTATGCAAAATATTTGAAATAGCTAATCAGCATGCAAATTATTTTAACAATATAATACATTGCCAAATTAATTAATTAAATGAACAAGAAATCACAAAACGAAACATTGCTAAAACAAAACAAACTAAATTGGCCTTTATTGACAAATCCAAAAAATGTATCTAAAGTATTTCGCTTCAAAAAGTATTCACACACCGATCTCCACTAAAACGCATATAGGCTTACCTGGCTGCTTCCCTTGCCATGTATTTTTCTTTCTGTACTTCTAATTGCTTTTTTATCAACGCTTGTTGGTAAATACTCTGTGTATGTGCCACTAGTTCTTGTGGAGATGGTACACGGGGTATGCTCGAAGGGGTGTTAGGAGGAGCTGACGGAGCAAGTCCTGGTGATGGGGGTGGCAGAGGTGATGCTGCTCTATTTCCAGGATAACCTATTAGAGGACACAATTTCAACTTTCATAAGTCTGTCATTGCAATACACTGAAGAACAGCATACTTACATACATACACTAAATATCAGCTGATAAAAGACATTTAAAATATCCATGAAATAAAAAGACAGTACTCACTCAAAGGGGATGCTATCCGAGGAGATGATGGAGGTGGACGCAACACTTGTAAAAATTCTTGTGGAGATGTCGACCTCTGTAATGTATTCTGTTGGTGTTTGAGAAGAGTTCCAAGTAACTCTTGGCAAGGAGACACTGACCTGTAGGAAACATACAGTACAATTATAGTAACATTGTCCTTACTGTGGTCATACTACTAGTGTTTGTACCGTGGAGAGCCGCTGTGATTACCGCGGTGAACCACCCGTTTGATTTCCTACTCTCCCCTTAACGCATTGCATGCTGAAGAGTTTTTTTTTTACACATCCCAGCCTCCAAGGTTTTTAGCAGGGAATAATGAAGAAAAATAAGTGTATATGCATGGTATTCAGCTGAGAAGAATTCAAATAAACATCTTATTACAGGTGCATCAGTACATAAACCACAGATTTATTGTATGCCAGATCAATATTATTTTGATAAAACTATTTTGACATGTTAAGTGAATATGTGTACTGTAATAAATGAAAATGGCTGAACATAAGCAAGCAAGTTTGTAAAAAAAAAATCTCAATTGAGAATGACATACTGTACCTTTGATTCATTGCCATGGTTTTCAATAACTGCTGTTGCTGTTGTGGAGTAAAAGCGAGAAGATTGGGAGAAAATGGTCTGCCAGGGGGCATCTGGTTATTCTTGGCAAGTTCTTGGAGAAATTCCTTTTGGCCACTTACAGGTGTCAGTCTACCCATCTGAGGAACAACCATTGGTGATGGAGAGAGTGTTTGTTGTGTCATCTTATTAGGAGGCTGCTGTAAAGTAATCACTGGATCCTGTCTTGGAGGTGTTGATACTGAAGGTGGCCGGATATTCACTTCTGGTTCTGGTCTGATTATTTGCACAGTCTTGTTCTTCTCCAACGAGAGAATATGAATTGGTGATACTCTTTTTCCATCTGACTTAATCTAGATTCAAAGATGTAAGACATCACCAAAAGAGTCTAAAAGCAACTTCAATGCTTTAATGAATGGGAAATTTCTTGCAGGAGTACAATCATGGTGGGAGAGAGTCTGACAGTAACGAATGGTATACAACTGTGTCAGCAGGCAATACAGTACTCATTCCGCCCAACCTCCCGCTTTTATCGCTTTTTTTCCGACCGCTTATCGCTTAATTTCCGATCGCTCGCTGCTTTCGACCG